ACTTATTATGAATGCATTGCACAACTTCTCGACCAAAATAAAGTTTTTTCTTAAGTTTTAAGGCATTGGTTGCTATGGTTTGACGTTAAAAGTTATGATACAATAGTTGATAAGAAAATAAGTTTTACTATAATATGTATTGTGAACCCATTCTCCAGCTTTCCTTATCATAACTCACAATAAAAATCTATTATTTTCTATCGTTTTATTTACTGTTAAATATGTGAGCAAACAATTCAAAGTAATTTTATTTTTATTTATAAGTTTAAAAACTCATTTTAGGCACAAATTGTATCTTACATTCACTTTACATTTCTAAGTCATTAGTTGAATGGATACTAAAAACTGATTTAAAAAGTGGTATAAATTTAAAATGTGTTAATAATGTCTTATTGAAAGGCATAAGTGTTTGTACTATTAAGCCCTACCAATCCCTTAACACTTAAATCATACATAAAATATACTAAACTAAATATAAAGATATAGAAATTACAATTCAATGCAAAGCTTTCTCCACAACTATTGCATAACACTGTCTAACACTGAATGGCATTAAAGCCCGCATTTGTCATCTGTGTTGACGTTATTGATGTATAACTGATGTATTGATGGCTTACTATTGGATGGTTTGAAAAATGACCGCATTTTATAAGTTCTCAACAGTTTCTGAACCAAACATTTTTGTTGACAACAATCTGTTGATTGGTTTGCATTGAAGACACCGACGAAGACATCGAAGACAATGGACTCCATAGATATGTTACGATTGAAAGACAGCCAACTATTGAGTCAATTAATCCAAAGTCATCTCTCATTCATAATTGACTCCAATTTCGACTTCAACTCAATTGACACAAAAGCCGTCAAAAGGAAAACCAATCAAACAAGCAGTGAGTCTCTTGTGATCCAAATGATCACCGATCGGATCCATTCATGTCTTCGCGTCACGACATCCATCCTTTCAATCCTACATCTCTTTGATTATGTGATAGTAATTGCATTGCCATATGATTAGTACACTAATGGTTACCATTGATTACTGTTCGCAAAGATTACATAAAGAGCTGATCCAGAATGTGATGCGAAGACATTGTGGTCAACACTAATCCATATTAAATAAAATGCAATTTAATTCACTTTATATGATATAAGAATAGTTTGTATTTACAATTTAGTTGTGATATAAAGACAACACATTTTAAATGTTAATTTATATAACTTTACAAATAGTTAACAAAATATTTAATGAATTAGTAGTTAATATACAATTAGGTAATAGTTATTAACAATGATTTTAACGTTTAATCCAAAGCAACCATTTTTGGCTCAAATCTCACTCAAGAGGGAATCTGTTGTATTCACCAATTGATTGAATTCATTATCACCGATAAGAGTAAGTGTGACACCCATTTAGATGACACTTATCTTATACTATCACTCATTTGATCCAAAGATATAACAAATGAAGGAATTTTCCGAAAGAGTGGCAGTTCTTTGCGTCAATCGGAACTAACGGAATTGATTTCCGGAGGAATAACAGTGGATCTGTCGGCCAATCGGTTCACTGTTCACGACTGCTGTTGTGTACTGAAGAAGTTTGTGTCCCTTTTGCCGGAACCGCTTATTACTGACTATTATTACCCGCTCTTCAAACAAATATCCGAATTGAATCCACAAATGTTTTCACCCAATCATAAGAACTGTAAGAAATTGGTGGCAATTCAGCTGTTTTTGCTCTTAATTCCTGCACCCAATCGACAACTTCTGCTCGAATTGTTGGCATTGTTTGAGAAAGTGTTGCAAAACAGTGACACAAACCGAATGAATTCCACGAGTTTGGGCACAATCTTCACACCACACGTGTTGTGTCCGCGATCTTTCACTTCCATTGAATTGCAACAGAATTTGTATCCATTGACACAAACGCTCATATTTATGATCGACAACTCGCGCCTCATATGCCAACCGCCGCCACGACTGCTCACTGATGTCAACAATCAGCTCATGATTATCGAGTCGGCGAAGAGCAAGACCAGCACCTCATCGTTGGCGGCCGTCAACTCTGCCCATCAGTTCTGTGTCCAAAGCAATGACACTAATTCTGATGATTTCACAGCCAATCAGGTTTGATATGTGTTTGAATATGATTTGTCTGTTATTAACTCATATTTGATTGTCTGAAAAGTTGGCACATCTTTACGCTCACATCCAAAGTATGCCGAATAGTGGCACTCCTCAGAAGAAGAAATGGATTAAACAGTTCAATCGTGAGAACGGAAAGGGAACGCCTCTTCTCAAGCAAAAGAAGTTGGATTCGAGTAAAAAACTCAAGACATCCATCGGTGATGTGTTGAAAGCCGGACAACACTTCCTTTTCGGCACTCCTGACGACACGTTAAGACACAATAAAATTAATAAAAATCTATTTAAAGATCACTCTTCGCCTAATACTGAGGGCCAGAAGAAAGGAATGCAACACTTGAGCCAAACTGTGCCCAAAATGAGTTCCAAAACTCGGATCGAAACATCGGTTTGCGATGAGAGGCAAGAATGTGTCACTCCTTTGGGTGTGAGTCTAGAAAATGCTAACAAAAAAATCAAACTAAGCGTTAGTAAAATCGGTAATCGAGAGCCCATTGCTTTCGATTAGATTTTGTTTATTTGTTCTATAGTTTAGTTTCAATTGTAAATTCGTTCAAATTATAAAGTTATATATTTATGTATTTTATACTAAAAGATCAATTTTTAATTTTCTCTCATTTATAGAATTTTTATTTAATATTTTTAAATAAGTCTCGACTTCTCTCGTAATACTCACATGTAATTGATTTATAATAATTATTATTAACTAAAAATGTATTGAAATATTAAAGTATTTATATCAAACTAGAGTTTTATTATATAAGTTGTATTTAAATGTAATTTGATGTATCAATTGATAAAATTATGTTGAGATAAACATTTAATACATTACGTGTTGATATGTATAACAATAGAGTGTAATAGATGTCAAACGTCACCATCAGTTTCTGGTAATATAATTTCGATTCTGGCGCTAATCGGAGGCGAATTTGGGTTGAATTGAGTTTTGTTGACAAAAGCGGTTGCAATAAATCTGATGAAACAATTTCTACACAAAACTCTTGAGATGAGCTCAAAGGCGACGCTTCGAAACGATTTGTTTAAAAGTCCGTAAAGAATAGGATTCCAGAAGGAATTGCTGATCGCTATCCACGTGACCACAAACTCGAAGTTGTGGGGAAAGTCCACTTCCCAGACCGAGGAGATCAGCTCTGTTAGTGTCCACGGAGTCACTGCTATCAGAAAACCCGCAGATATTGAGCCCAATGT